AATGCGTACCGCGAAACAGGGGAGGTCAGGTTTGTCCGCAGCGGTAGAGGTCAGGTCTTGCGTTGAGGCACCAGATATGAGATTGGCCAGCATGAAAAGATTGCCGGCTAGACTGGTGGGCGAGGTGGTTTCGTTGCAGCGACGTGCGCTCTCGTAAGCGAGCTTCCACCAAACCTGACAGAATGAAGCCACAGCACGTCATCAGGCGTTCATGTATAGGAAAAAGATACAGACAGCTACAGGATGGTACTGGCAAGCTTCATTGGCGCACCACAGAGAAGGAATCATCTACAAGGCATTCAGCTGACCGAAAAGTTAGTTCTGTCATATTTGGCAAGGTTATTGTTGGTTTATAAATGGTGAAAGTCAATCTGAAACTGCCAGTAATAATCGCTCACATTTAGTTGCCTTTCTACAGACTTAGTGTATACAGCTGGCTTTACTAATCATCAAATTGACATCGTTATTCTACCAAATCAGGTTTATCATGTGGAGGGGCTACATTAGGTTTCATGATCGGAAATTATTTCATAGCTTCACTTTAATAAAAACAGCGGTCATGATATCATAGAGTACGAAAATAGTAAAATGCAGGGTTCAACTCCCTCTAGTATGTCGTGGATGGTAGTTTTATGTGTGCAACGACACCATATAACGGGCACTGAGCTTGGACAGCTCTTTTCTCCAATGGCAATAACCGAATACGGATGTTATTGAGCCGATCCCTTCGTCGTGTTCAACAAGGCAGCGACGTCAAATGATGGGCAACAGCAGTGAATTTTTGGAATAAACGAGGAATGCGTCTTAAAGTCTTCAGCCACCTAGCTAGGATGATTTAAGATGTCCATGAAACGCGGCCAAGGGAGCACTAACTGTTCCCACTGAACAAAATTCAACATTTCTTTCTTGAGTTATTGGGGCCTAAAACCCAGTTTTAGCCCCTCCTCTACAAATACAAGCCTGCATTCTTAATAACAGAGGGCCAACTAGTGATGCAGTATGGTCATGGATACCAGCGGAGGCTTGCAAAGTTACGCAAAAAATATTAGCAGCAGAAATTTATCCTGTCGTCTGCGTGTTAACAATCTTACCCCGAGGTATCTGAAATTAGACTTTGGACAGCTGATAGTCATTTATCAGGGGATGCCTTCAAAAACGCAAACAGTTACCATGTTGTTAATGAATGATTACTTACGAGTGTCCTGGTCAACATAGTGCTATTAAAGCCTACATACCACAGCGTCTCAAGTGAACCAGATTACCGGAGCATTTGGTTTATTTTAAAATGCTGTAGAAATCAGTTATTTGAAGACTGCATCCATAAGGACAATAAGATAAATTTAATGAGTAAAGACAGAGTTAGAGATAAACAAACTCAAGCGTTAATCAGCAAAGTTGCCGACAAATAAATAAGGGGATGAGTGTTGTCTTAGGAGACGCTAATTTGCCACAGACACTTATCAGCTCTACTTTCCCGGCGCCTACTGCATGTGAATGAGAAGATAAAAGTTAATATTTTATACTACGGCCTGATTGTCATCACTGGCGTGAAATATATCCGCCAAGTCCTTGAGAAAATAGTCTGCAGTTCTTGTGTCAAAAATTAAAGGAAACTTAAGAGCAAGCTAAAAGGGTTTAAGCAAACTTTAAACTGCCTACATAAAAAGTTTGACGATACCTTTAATTTCTAAACTACAGACACTGTAAAAAGGCCGTTTAGAACAAGGCTCGAAATGTCGTTAGGCAGTTAATAAGTGTTTTGTATACTTGGAATTTAGTTCTAGCGGTTGGGCTAGCGCAGGTTTAACCAACCGGGCCAGTCATAAACTCACCCGCATTAAGAAACGAGTGTTCTAAATGAGGGACCAATAATGAGCAATGGTCGTAGAAGCGCGATAACTGCAGCGTCAAAAGACAGAGAGCAGGAATAACATAAAGCTACCATTTGGGCAGGACACACATGAAATCTAGGAAGCTAAATATTTTTTTAACGGTAAGCTGCGGTTCAGACAAAGTGTTAAAACTTGTGAATTTAAAACGGGCGGATAAAAGTGGCGAAGTATTTGTTCCTATTGGCAATAATTGTAGGAGTAAGTAGCACAGTAAAGCAGCAACTGAGGTTAATACCAAGACGACTCCCCATATTTTAAAAAACTCTAAAATGGTGTGATTTTTTCAGGGGGAGGGGTTAAAAATCCATTGTATCATGAAGTACCCCCACACATCAACGAAAGGTATAACTGAAAAATCCGAACGTACGTTAGGTGAGACGAAACAACTGACATAACGAGTGGCCAAGTAGAGTTGTTTAAGAACCTGGAGAGCCTCTGTAGCTTCAGAGCTTGGCGCCCCATCGCGACTATTAGCAGAGGGGGCGGAGGGAACTTCCTTAGTGAGTGTGTAGAAGTTCGGAACTCCTCGGTCAGGACTCATTAAAAGGAGGTAGATAGTACCACCGCCCGCGTTAGTAGAAATAGTCCGCTGTAGTCCATCTCCAACTCCGGTAGATATTCCCGAAATTAGGACTTGAGTATGTTGAGTGACAGCATTTTCAAGATGCAACAGTAGGATTGGGAGCAGACCGGAGGCCTTCTTGCGTGTATCATCCTGCCAATCGGACAGATCCTTACATAGACCCGGAAGTATTCTGGAAGCCGTTCTGTGGATGATTTCGCGGCAACCTTCGATGGAAAAAATGGCTCAATTGGTAAACTCAGCATAATAAAAATACAAAAAGGATTCAAGAGACTATACGGAAAAGCAAAAGTACAAAAAGGCTAATCTTATCGTTGCAATAACTGCGCACAAGCGGGTATTATTTTCCTAAGGGTGCTTAAAGTTTCTGAAGACAAATAACAGTTACCGAAATTTGGACGCATTTGGCCTGTCGGATAATTCGGCGGGACGCCAGCGTCAAAGTCAATTTTGTCCTTTAGTTGATCTTCGTTCTCTTTCTGATATTTTAAGCCTAAGATTT